TCCCCAATATAGTACGGCACCCGTTTTAAAAAAAGACACCAAAAGGGACACCATTTTCGCAAACTACCCATATGCAGAAGGGAATTTCTCGTATAAGATTTGATGAACGATTTGAAGCACACTTAGTGTGAGACATACCGTAGATGCACCTGAAGAAGAACTAATCGTGCTAGCCCTCCCTCGTCCCACGAGCTATGCGAAGCCAAACGATTCTGCAACGTCGTCGGCCCGCTATCAAACTGTACCTCCCGCAATCAACGGCTGTGGCGTTCTGGTTCGGCTTCACCACCACTCTATAGGAAAACACTGAACCCCTAAGGACCCTCCCAGCCGTCGTAACGTTGGATTGCCATCGCTCAGGACGCTTCAAGCCTCGCAAACAAGGCGCTTGGTCAGCTGCTCGGCATTGTAGATGAGGGAGGAGTAGCCTGCCATCGCCACAAGAAACTACTCTGAAGAATCCTGGCCGCCCTCTTGTCCAACTTACATTTTTTCTGACACACGACCCATAAATCAGCATTTAGGGCTGTCGGGCCTCCGTCTGGTTTTGATTGGAAGGCCCTTCATAGAATGTTGAATTCAAGGGTTTCTGGGGTCGGTGTACGGGGTTTAAGGTTTTGTCTCTACAGGGTTCAGGTCTTGGGGTGCTTCGGGCTTCGGGACTAGGTGTCCACTTGCCAGGTTCATCTGGTTTCTTTTGGCACTGCAAGGACACGTCCGGGGTCGTCCATGGGTCCAGGGCCCTTGGTGGCTGCCCTCGATGTCTCGCCCATAAGGAAACCCTTGGCCATAAGTTCTGAACCCTAGGTTGGTAAGGTTTCAGAAGATGCGGGAGCCACGGTACGATGGAGAGTGCAGACATGGATCTGCAGACGTTCCCAACACAGTGCAGAGTGCATACGTCTTCCAGCCAGGAAGAGCGAGAATCCCAAAGCCTACCTGAACGCTTGAACCACCATTAAATTAAACGACATAAAGTATGGAAGCCAAGCAACACGGACCCCAAGTTTCCTCGGGCCCTCCGAGGGAGTCCCAGCACTAATCGTCCTTATCCCTTGCTCCGAACGTCCACCAATAACAAGAAGGAACAACGCTGGCACCAGGGAGATCTGTGTACAAAAATAGAGACAAGCCACTCTTGATCTCGTTGTGGCCTGGGAGATCGTCAGTGCATACCTCGGCTTGTGAGGCTGAAGCGTTAAGGTAGGGAAATTAGAATATGGGTTTTGGGGCCCA